GTGTCCAGCCTCCAGCATGGCAGGCAGTCATATTCTTCTCCATCTAATGTCACTGCTGACAGTGAGAATAGGGAGCTTTGATCCTGAGGATAGAGATGGCTGAGGGGGCGAGCCTTTGTGGTGGAGTGGTTTCTGGGTGGAATATGTAAAAATGAATAAATAAAATAAAAATAAAAATAACTATATCATTAAACCTCTTGAAGATATACATTCTACTAGTATAGCTCCTGCACATTATTATTCCAAAAGAGTACTTGAATCACAGTAAATGGCTTACTTCTGTTATTTTAGCCTTGGAAAACCTGTGACCAGGAATGGAAGTGTAGTAGGAAAAATTCATGTTTCTACGTGTGTTTTTTAATGAATGAATAAATAAATGACTCACAAAATGCTTTATTACAATAGAACTTGTGGACAAACCAATTATGTGATTCAAGAGCAGAAGAATTCATATAAATATAGTCAGCTATAATTTCAATCTCACGGATTCATGCGAAATAGTTGGCTTCTTACAGTATTGAGATATATATTAAGCATCAGTTTAGGGAACAAGACTCACAATAATTTTTTGTGATACACTCAATTATTATTGTTATGCTGAGTTAGCGTAAAATGATTTAAAGAATAGAAATTCTGAAAAGTATGTTACATATCAATCAATTAATACATTATTAAGTACCATTTACTGTGTTTGAGCTAGGGTGAGGATCTTTATGGTAATTTAAATATGAGATATGGTCACTGACCTTGAGAAATAACCCTTTAAGGGCACTGATGCCAACAAAGGTAATGTGCAGCTAGTTAGTAGCAGAGAATGATAGAGAATCATATAAACTAAGAGAATTATTATTTTATTTAGGGACAGTTCTAAGAATTTAGCAATCTGTAAGGACGATTGATCAATCAATGTGGACGATCAATCAATGGCATCAATATGGCTGTCAAAAATATGTAAAAAGGAGAGTGAGCTGTAGAGTTTCGAAAAGGGGAGCCAATGGGATTTAAGGATTTTCATTGAAGGAAGGCCACCTAACTATCTCATTTGGAAAGGATGTAACTGTAGAGATTTGTGCATCATGATCACAAAGTACAGTTTCTATAGCCATTAAGATCATGCAATTAAATCTCTTTGTGCTGGATCCATGCTTTTGAAGACAACACTTGATTTAAAATTAGGGTTTTCATATCATATGACCACAGGGAGAAAACACACTATGTAAAAATGATCATTCCTTTATATTTGATAATTAAATTCTGATTTAAATTAACAATTTAGCATTCACTTTAATGAATCCAATTTCTTTAAAATACCTAGAGCAACTCAAAATTTGTTTTATCTTATGTAAATTTTTAAGGAATTTGCCCATTTCATCTAAATTATTGAATTTGATGGCATAAAGCTTATTTGTAATAGTCTCTTATCTTTTGTCTGTAGGATTTGTAATGATAGTCCTATTTCATTCCTGAAATTGGTGATTTGTATTCTTTCTTTGTATTTTGATCCATCCACTGAGGAATTAACCAATTTTGTTAATATTTTCCGAGAACCATTTTCTATGTAGTTATATTTTGTTTTGTTGTT